AGCCTGTAGTCTTAAACATGCCATGTACGCAGTGGGTGGAGAAGGGAGCTAGGGAGGACAGAACCCTTCTCCGTCTCACTTGCTCACGGAACCCCTTGTGGTACATGCTGTAAGGCCAGTGTTCCGGGTAGCAGATGTGAGGTTTTGGAGCAGGGAAGTGAGGGTAAAAGGGAATGGATTCATGTAAGTGATACCATGCACTTGTTAATTAATTTATTCATTCCGTGATCACTAGAGACGAGGGCTGGGCCCGGGAGAGACACAGCTACAAAGTCAAAGGAAGCCACTTTCACCCCAGCAGCCTTCATTCCAGCCTGGGAGGCCGCTGAGCCCGTGTAGGCCAGGATGAGGAGCTGGGACCTGACTCTGAAGGCACTAGGGCGCCCTCAGAAGGCTTCGTGCTGGCAAAGGGTGTGATCGGGTGTGCCCACCGAGGAGCTCCCAGCCGCAGCAGGGAAGGGGCGTGGGAGTCCCATCTTAGCATGATTCCGCTCTGCGTGCCGCTCACTTCCTGGCTCTTCACCCTGGCTCTCTTTCCCTGACTGGACCGCACAGCGGCCTCCAGCCGAGCAGGGGCCTTGGCAGCCTGGGCGGCCCACACCCCTGCAGGCCCTGCCAGGCCTCTGGCCCCCGGCTGACTCCAGCGTTGCCTCGGCAGGTGCTGGCCCTGGCCAGGCAGCAGAACAAGCGGGTGAAGGTGGTGGGAGGTGGCCACTCACCCTCGGACATCGCGTGCACCGATGGCTTCATGATCCACATGGGCAAGATGAACCGGGTTCTGCAGGTACTCAGAGCCCTCGGCTTCCCCCAGCCTCAGCCTCCCTCCCAGACCTTGGGCGGAAACTCCTTAGCCTCTGCCCCCAGGCCTGATCCCCTCCCTACCCCTGAGTCCAAAGAGACACCCCAATTTCTGACCTGCCCACCGTGACCCCTCCCCGGAGCCCTCCCTGGGCTTGCTCAGGCTTCTTGACAGCTGTATGCGCCTCCTTGTGGCCACAGAGAGAATGTTCGTCTCCTTCCTCCTGCCAGTGCCTCCTCTCTGCTTCTCTAGAACAAAAATGGCAAATCAGATCCCCAGAGGTGGACTCACAGTCCCAGACCGGAAGGATTTACATCTAGCTAGTTTTACACATGGGGAAACAAGATCAGAGAGGGCAAGTGACTTGCCTAGGGTTACACAGCCAATCAGTAGCAGAGCTGGGCACAAACTTGGGGGTCTGACACCAGCGCTGTGCTGGGATGCTGTCCATGCATTTCAGCCAGCACTTGTCAGGCACCTGCCAGGAAGTGGAGGCCAGACAGGGCCTTCTCTCCTGACAGGGCCGGCTCCCCTGAGCTGCAGTTTTTGCCAAATAACCCCCGCCCCCCGCCCCCCGCCGACCCCCAGCCCTGCTGGCCGAAGTTCTAGGTTTCTCTCTATTATTTATTTCTTTGCTCAGGCTGACAGTCTCCACCCCATAGAAAATGTTCTGGTCAAGATGTCAGTCATGGCAGTAATGAACTCTGATTGCTAATTAGTGAGGATCGGGCTCCAACAATTGATTTTGCCCAGCTCTGTGCTCAGGGTCAGTCAAATGAGCTTGGGATTTGGAGTCCCACAGATGTAAATTCTCCTCTCATTGCCTCCGATGCTTGCGTGACCTTGGGTGAGCAACTTAAAGTCCCTGAACTTCAGTCTCCTCCCTGGGAAAGCAGAGTCTACTCCCACTTCCCTGGGCTGCCAGGGGTCTTCTAGAACCCTTCTTGTGTGTGGCAGGGAACTTCTGTCCCCTTCCCGTCCTCAGTCTTTGCCTAAGACCTCCCCGGTGAGAATAAGTGGAGAATTGGGACTCCATCTGGTAGAATCAAGCCCTTGTAGGAATAGGCCCTCCTTAGTTGGTGATTATGCACGACCATCCAGGAATCCTACCTTCTGGTCCAGGTGGGGCAGGGTTGGGAGTAGGTGGAGTTATGGCAGTGACCTTGAGTGAGCCCCTTCTTTTCCCTGCTCTTTATTTCCTCCCCTGTGGGAAGAAGGGGTTACACAGAATACACCAGTCCCCCCATTATCTGTGGTTTCTTTTTCCGTGGTTTCAGAGGTCAACCACCCTCTGAAAGCAGATGATCTGCCTTTTGACATATTATCAGAAGGCCAACAGTCACCTAATCCTAGGTCACAATTCCTAAGCCCTTTATCTCACTTAATCTCATCATCACGTAGGCATTGTATCATCTCACATCCTTACAAGACAAAAAAAGCTGAGGACAGTACAAGAAGATATTTTAAGAGAGACAGAAGCCACATTCACGTAACTTTTATTAAATACATTGTCATAATTCTTCTATTTTATCTTTAGTTATTGTTGTTACTCTCTTACTGTGCATAATTGATAACTTGAACTTTATCATAGGTAAACATATGGGGAAAATATGGTACATGTAAAGTTCAGTGTTAGATGTGGCTTCAGTCATCCACTGGGGGTCTTGGAACGCATTATCCCCTGTAGATAAGGGGGGATGACTGTATTCCCACAGCCCCAGCACTCCAGGGCTCTGCCCACACCCCCTTCAGCTGCCTGCAGCAAGAGGTCAGCTTGAGCTGACCACAGGCTGCGACAGACATGCTCATCTTCACGGGAATGCGGTTGCTGGGTGAGGGTTGGGTGATAGCCTGGCTCATCCCAGCCTGTGCTGGTCTCTTGCAGGTGGACACAGAGAAGAAGCAGGTGACTGTGGAGGCCGGCATTCTCCTGTCTGACCTGCACCCACAGCTGGGCAAGCATGGCCTGGCCTTGTCCAAGTAAGAACGGCTCTTCCATTCCTGGGGGGCCAACACTGCCCACCACCCCTTGCCCTGGCCTTGGCCGGACACTCAAGGATCTGGCAGGAGAGAGAGAAACACTCCCCAGGGCGCATCCTCTTCCTCTGGACCCCTGTTCCTCCCCCAGGGGGTATCTGTCTCCCCATCCCCCGTGAGTTCAGGGACTCATGTGAGAATAGAAGAAACAAGCCAGAGATGGGCCAAGCATTAAGCAACAGTCTTGTAAAGGGGCAGGAAAACCATGGATTAAAATTTTTTTTGGCAGGGGGGGTTGGGGGAGGGGAGAGCAAAAAAGGTGAATTTATTAAAGCACAGGGCCAGGATGTGTGGGCAGAAAGAGCTGCTTTTTTTTTTTTTTTTTTAAGTTTATTTATTTATTTTGAGAGAAAGACAGCATGAGTGGGGAAGGGGCAGTGAGAGAGGGAGAGAGAGAGAATCCTAAGCAGGCTCCACACTGTCAGCGTAGAGCTCCATGCAGGACTCGAACTGATGAACCATGAGATCATGACCTGCGCCCAAACCAAGAGTCTACGCTTAACTGACTGAGGCACCCAGGTGCCCCTGGATTAAATTTTTCTTAAAACTCGCAACGAACAACAGTATGGACCCAGACAGAAAAATGTGCAAAATAAGCATGGAGGAATGGGAGGGCATGCTGACTTCCTGGGGCACCTCCCTGTGGCTACACTCCTCTCTCCGTCCGGACGAGGAGTCGGCGATGGCTCAGGTTTAAGATCAGGGGCTTTCCATTGAAACAGGTGGCAAACAAAGCCAAAGGATTGAATGTCTAAGTGTAGAACTTCAACCATTGGAAAAAGGTGACTGTATTTTGGATATCGGGGTAGCACTTTCTTTGCAACCGGAAACTGCACGCATGGAATCCTGTGGTTTGTCTTGGCGGGGTGGGGTCCGTTTGCCTTAGCTCTCTAATCACAGGCCCTGAGGCATCGCTACACCTGTTTTACTCCGGAGACCATCCTGCTCCTGCTTCTCCAAAGATCATGGCAACTCAAACATTTATGGAGCGTCTAGCATGTGCAGGTCTTGCTCAGGCCCTGAAGAGGCAAAGATGAATAAAACCCAGATCCCACTTGCAAGGAGCTGCTGGCGAGGGGCACACAGACACACAAAGTGTTAAGCATAATGCAGGACGATAGGTGCAATGTCAGAGAGGTGTTTGGGACACTTCAGGGCTCTCAGGGGGCCCTGGGTTCAGGCTCGGCAGGCAGAGGACGCTGTGAGGGATGGGAATCAGCAAGCTTGTAGGAGGGGCTCCTGGACTGAGTCCTAAACGATGATCAGGAAGAAACCAGAAAGAAAGAGGAGAGAAGGGACTCAGGCAGAGGGAACGTTGTGAGCAGGAGCGGGAGGGGCGCCTGGGTGGCTCAGCCGGTTAAGGGTCTGACTCTTGATTTCGGCTCAGGTCATGATCTCACAGTTTGTGAGTTCAAGGCCCACATCGGGCTCTGCGCTGACAATGCAGAGCCTGCTTGGGATTCTCTCTCTCTCCCTCTCTCTCTGCCCCTCCCCTGCTCTCTCTCTCGCTCTCGCTCTCTCTCTCAAAATAAATAAAGTTAAAAAAAAAAGAAAGAAAGAAAACAGGTAGCACTTAAAGAGAGAGAAGTCCAAAAGGGGGAGAGTGTGGGGGGCGTGCAGGGACCTATGAGCAGATGCTGGGACAGAATCTGTGACAAGGACCACAGGAAGAGACATGGTCTATCAACTACGGGCTTTAGCTTCTGGACTCTGAAGCATCTCTGCGCCCTGCTTGTAATATGTCCCTGTCCTCCCTGGGGACCCAGTCCTCCTCCAGTACTGCCCGCATGGGCTCTTCTGCCACTCAGGAGTCAGGATGTCCTATCCTGCGTGCCTCAGGGGAGCCTAGGTCGACAGCTGTGGGAACTTCAGGAGTGTCTGTGGCCGGGGGGGTGAAGGGAAGCCCCACACCATCAGGCTGCACGCTGGGTGCTCAACAGATGAGGAATATAACCCTTTTACAGATGAAGAAACCGGGGTCTGAGGCAAAGTGGCTTACATAGCCAGAAGGCTCTGGAACGTTCCACTGTGTGGTGAACCAGCGGAGGCAGGACGGCAGCAAGGTGGAGACCCCAGCTCTAGAAGCAGGTGGCCTGGGCGCACATCTTGCTTCAAGTTCCTTGACCCGTCCGGGCCTCAGTGTCCTCATCTAGAAAATGGGTCTTAAAGCAGGGTGCTCAGGGGACTGGATGAGTGAAAGATGCCCCACATAAGGAGCTCACTAAATGTCAGTTCTTGTTCACCTGGCTTTGTCATCTGGCTCCACAGATTCTGGAGGTGATCTTTCCCCTTGGCTTGTTATCTCCAGCCCCTCAGAGGTCAGAGTCTAATCCTTCCTTCCTTGACCCTTCTCCCTGAGGGCCTCACTTTTATCCAGTTTATTTCTCTTAACACCGGGGTCACGAGCCTGTTTCCGAACTGCTTTTTTGTCCGGTAAAGTTCATGGGGAGGAGAAGACACATTGCAATTCGATTAACCACCCCCCTGCTGGGCATTGTTCTCAGTTTTTCACTGGTCTACCTAATGCTGTGATGAACATCTTTGAGCTATGCCTTTCCACACGTTGGAAGATGTCCCTAGGGCAGGATTCTATGGTCCTCTTTAAGATTCTGGTATTTTCAGAAGTAACCCAACTAAACTAATGTGGACAAAGAGACAAGACTAGACACATAGGTGGTGGAGGCGGGTGGGTACGGGTAGGCTGGAAAGGGTTTTTTTGTGGGGTTTTTTTGTGGGTTTTTTTTTTGTCCTCTTCCCGTTCTGCCAGGACAGCCCCCAGGTCTCATCCACAGGAAGGTCTGAGACTAGACTTTCTAATCATTAACAGCAGGTGTCCTCCAGCGTCTTTGGGAGGCGGGGCCCAGCCTGCCTCAGGGGCCCCAGGTCTGTGCTGAGAGCCAGGGCGTGTCAAATCCTCAGTCTCCCATTTTGTGTCTGCGAGAGGGTGGGCACATTGCTTTACCTTGCAGAGCCCAGGTCTTCAGTATAAACTGAGGGGGGTTGGGCTATTGTGAAGATATATCTTGCAGCATACAACGCACCCATCGCCTGGGCACCCAGGGGGCCCTCAGTAAACATCAGTTGCCTTCTCCTTTAAGCTAGGGCTGGGATGTCTCAGAGAACACTCCTAAGAAGTAAGAGTTTTGAACTCCTGAGCCACTCTTTTTCCTTCACCCCGAGATCTGGGCACATCTTTCTAATTCCTGCCCCCAGAGCACAGGTCTCCAGAGCGGTCCTGCTCCCCTTCAGGACCCTGGTCCTTCCTGTGCATGCACAGTTCTGGTATTATTCCTTCCAAGGCCCAGAAGTCTGGGCTGAGAGATGTGGGTTTATCATGGGGGCTCCGAGGAGCCCCTGACTCTTTTCTTTCTTTGTTTCTTTCTCTCTTTCTTTGTTTCCTTCTTTCTTTCTTTAATTTTTTAAAAAATGTTTTATTTATTTTTGAGGGAGAGATAGAGAGCGAGCAGGGGACTGGCACAGAGAGAGGGAGACACAGAATCCGAAGCAGGCTCCGGGCTCTGAGTTGTCAGCACAGAGCCCGACGCGGGGCTCGAACTCACGGACCGCGAGATCATGACCTGAGCTGAAGTCGGACACTCAACCGACTGAGCCACCCGGGCGCCCCGTCTTTCTTTCTTTTTTAATGTTTATTTATTTACTGTTGAAAGAGAGAGATAGAGAGTGAGCAGGGGAGGGGCAGAGAGAGAGGGAGACAGAATCCCAAGCAGGTTCCGCACTGTCAGCACAGAGCCCAAAGTGGGGCTTGAACTCATGACCTGAGCTGAAATCAAGAGTCCGGAGGCTTTAACTGACTGAGCCACCGAGACGCCCCCCCATTCCCCCACCACTGACAGTTTCTGAGCCTGGAGGTGATACAGTCTCCTCCCCCTCCTTTCCTGACAGCTCAGGGATGCTCACACCTTCCTGGGACAGCTGTGTGAGCTGTTTGAATCAGCTCACTCCCTCAGGGACTTCGCAGGCCTTGACAGTCTGGGTCTAGAGAGGTGTTAGCAGGTGCATTTGGGCCTTTGGTTGGTGAAGATCTTGTTGGCAGATGGGGGACAGAGGAAGGGGAAACCCCAGAGCCAGGCAGGCAGAGCTGAGTGAGCCACGCCCCTACCAGTTTCTCTAATAGGTCACTGTGATGAGAAAACCGAGGCTCAGAGAAGAGAAAGGCCAACAAGTCAGACAAGCTAAGTCATGGTACATTCGGAGCGAGAACCCGGGCAAGAGATGCATCTATTCTTCTGCTCTGAGGAGCGTCGCACTGCAACCCAGTGGAGGGGGTGGGAATTGTCTCAGGGGAGCCTGACTGGTCCCTTGTGTCCCTTTTGCCCCTCCTGTTGAGCCCAGCCTGGGAGCTGTGTCAGACGTGACTGCAGGGGGCGTCATTGGGTCCGGAACGCACAACACAGGGATCAAACATGGCATCCTACCCACCCTGGTGAGTCCCCTGCTTCTCTGCTCCACTGACTGCCGGGGACGGGGGTGGGGGGTGGGGGGGCGGGGGGAGATGGGGGATGGGATGGGGCCTCTTCACCGAAGCTCCTGGGAAATCAAGGGCTTCGTGGGCAGTGTTGGCTCTGCTCCTTGTAAGCCTCAGAGCCACCCCAGCTCTGCCCCTCTGACAGATTTGGCAGGTGCCCTCCAGCCACAGTATCTCCTCTAAATCTCATTCATCCCCCACAGACACAAGTGATGAAGGAGGCACAATGCATGTTGAGGCACCCCTGCCTCTCAGGAGCCTCCTGGCCACCCTGTGGAAAAGGGCAAGCAGGGCAAGAGGTTCCATCCTCCCCCTGAAAGGTCTGAGCCAGGAGCCAGACAGGGCAAGAGGTCTTTCCAGGTTAGCAAGTCAGGAGGGGCCGGGACAGGGACCGAGGCCACCTGGGGTGGGGTCCAGCACATGTGGGCCTGGATCTGTACCTGACCTTCACTGAAAAGCAGGGTTTTTTTTTTTAAAAAAAAGTTTTAATGTTTTATTTGTTTTTGAGAAAGAGACAGAGTGCGAGCAGGGGAGAGGCAGAGAGAGAGGGAGTCACAGAATCTGAAGCAGGCTCCAGCCTCTCAGCTGTCAGCACAGAGCCGGATGCGGGGCTCGAATTCACAGACCACGAGATCATGACCTGAGCCGAAGTCGGATTCTTAACCGACAGAGCCACCCAGTCGCCCCTGAAAAGCAGTGTTTAAACTTTACAAGAATCTGGTTTGGGGAACTGGTTATGAATACAGATTGTCGACTCAGGTCTGCGTTCAAAACCTGCCTCCGGTATGTGCTCGGTATGTGCAGGGAGGCAAGCTCTTTGCTCCTCTGGACATCCCTGTTTTCATCTGTAATCTGGAGAGAATAATCCTCAACCCAGGAGGAGGATATGAGATAGCAGAAGTTAAATACATGGCCGAGCCAAGGACAGTTCGTGATTTGTGTCAGAAGCAGCCGTTTGGAGGACACACTTTTTTAACTTTCAGTATTTAGAGGGACTTCCTAAGTGTAAGGTATAGAGGGACTTCCTTACACCTGCAAGGGCTCATCCGCCCCAGGGACCATGGGGCCTCTGGCCACTGGAGCATTATGGCTAAACACTGGGGCTTGGATTTTGTATCCCAGTCTACCACTACTGTCTGTGTGACCTGGGTGAAGTCTCTGTCTCAGGCTACCTCAGTTTGCTCACCTGGAAAATGGGGATGGTCACAACAGCAATGCATCTGGGGTGCTTAGCAGAGGGTACACAGTTAGTGCTCAATAAATGTCAGTGGTGGGTTTTGCCTGTAGGACAGGGCTCTTTCTGGAGCTCACCCTCTGTGTTATCAAAGAAATTTCAGCATGGCTGGGGGTTGGACCACACAGATCGCTTAAGTCAGCTAGCCAGGTGTATGGCTCTTTCCTGTACGACGTGCTGAGGTAGACGGACACCCCAGCAAGCACTGTCTGAACGTGACTCCTGGGAGCTGGGTCCCCTGTGCTCCAGGCTCGGAGCAGCTCTGAGAGCAGAAGAAAACAGCCCAAAGCAATTTCTAAGAGATTCACTTTGCTTTGTGTTTGTTTTCTCCAACACCGCGAGGGAAACCTAGTTCATTCTTTTCCTTAAAACAGCACTTGGCTTTCTCATCACTGTTGTGCCCTGGTTCTGGTTGCTTTTTTCCTTCTCTGCTCCCTCTTTCTACCACAAGAGCCCCAGAGACGCCCCAGGCAGGATAGGGGCATCCGGAGGGAAGGGCGTGAGCCGGGGAAGGGGAAACACTGAGCGCCCATTGGTGATCATGCTGCTCTCTTCCCATCGGTAAGAGCTGCTGCAGCAAAGCGTGCTGGGTTTTGTGGGACTCGATTCCCAGGTGCTTGGAGCCTTCCGTGGACATGCCATGACCTCCCCCCTGAAAGCTGGGCTCCATGCCCAGGAGAGCCCAGTGGTAACGGGGCCTGACAGGCAGCACGACAGCCAACCCCCCCGCCCCAGATTAGGCCACAGTCGTGGTCTGCTATCCAGGGCTGATGGCAGTTTCTAAAAAATGGTCAGCACAGTATGGAGTAGTTCTTAGTGGCCACAAATCAAGATGCGTGTGAGATTTACTGGCTCCTTCTCTTGGGAAGCTCAGCTGAGCAGGACCAGCCCCAGGAAAAGCAGTGGGAGAATGCTGCTGTTTTCTTGTATGCATTATGCCGATGGCAGGGGTCGGGGGAGGGGATTGACATCTTTAATGTCCACTGTATACCAGACGCTCGGCTGGAAACTTCACACACTGTCTCTGAGATAGTTATTGCCCTCATTTTACAGGTAAGGAAACAGAGGTTGAATCACACGCCCAGGGTCACACAGCTGGTAAAGCGGTGCCTGCCTTTGTTTGATGCTGGACCCTGCTGAGGGGTTTCACTAGCCAGTTGTCATTTACGGCTCTGGGTCTTAGACAAAATCTGGTTTTTATAGAAATCATTCTGACATCCTCACGCCTACCGGTGGCCATCGCGCCCCATTTCTGCCAATTTCTCCCCTCTGGCCACGGTCTCTGCTAATTAGAATTAGTTCGGCTTTCTCTGTTCTCTCACCCCGAGTCACACACGTCGAAAGCAATTTCCACTCAAATTAGCAGGTAGCAGAGTGTGGAGAAGTACTTACACGGCAATGAAAGAGGGTTCCTTTGGAAATGGGGCCAAGGGTGAGAGACTGGAGTTAATCATCCGTTTCTTGCTGAGTATCCCACCCTTTGCAGAAACTGACGTTTCTGACTGTGGCCAAGAATCTAGTTCCTGAGGTGAGTGGGTCCCCGAAAGAGAGGATGAACTCTCAGCTCGGCTGAGATGGTGCCCGAGAGGAGCAACAGGCAGAGAGAGGCCGCAAGGGCCCCTGGCCCCTGGGCTGTGCTGGGACAGCGGGGACAGCCCTAGCCCAGATGCACACACATCCTCCCTTCCTTTGCAAGGCACCTTTCTTTTAATGGCTCTTAACGTCTTCTTCTTCTTCTTTTTTTTAATGTTTATTTTGAGAGAGAGAGAGTGAGCAGGGGAGGGGCAGAGAGAGGGAGACAGAGAATCCCAAGCAGACTCCACACTGTCAGCACAGAGCCCAAAGCGGGGCTCGAACTCACGAAACGCGGGCTGAAAGAAAGAGTCCAGCACTTAACCGACTGAGGCACCCAGGTGCCCTGCGAGGCACCGTTAACCAGCACCTCACGGCTCACTGGGGCCCGGTCTCACCTTTGATGTCCTCTGCACAGAGGGGAGCCTTGCTGCATCCCCACAGCAAACAGGCAAGGCAGTGGTGAGTTCCCGTGGAACCTCATGGAATGGATGCCCCTCCCTGCTGAGGGCCGATGCTGCCCAGACCTAGCCTTCCTTTCCCCAGTCCCCTGTGGCCAGGTGGCATTGGCCTTCAGGGGATAGGTGATACCTGGCCTCACTTCCAAGGACAAACAGGGAAGGGAGGGCCTCACCCGAAGTCTCCAGGAAATACCCACCCAGATTCTGAAGTGCGACTCTTCTCCCACTGCCAGGTGGTGGCGCTGACCCTGCTGACGGCTGATGGGACCATTCTTGAATGCTCCGAGTCCAGCAACGCGGAGGTGTTCCAGGCCGCGCGGGTGCACCTGGGCTGCCTGGGAGTCGTCCTCACCATCACCCTGCAGTGTGTGCCTCAGTTCCACTTGCAGGAGATCTCCTTCCCCTCAACCCTGGACGAGGTACAGCTTTCTTGTTCACCACTGCTCAACCTCAGGAAATAAATGGAGGATGCGGACAGGTGGGCCGTGTTCCACTGATGACCCCCTGTGGCTCTCTGCAGGCCCCCTGAATGGGGGAGTGGGCTGACCTTGCCACCTCTTCCTTGGCCCAAGGATACTGTGGCCAGAACCCTTTCTGAGCAGATCCGTGAAGCTCAGAGGAACTGCAAGGGGGTGACAGAGGTATGGGCGAGAAAGGAGGTTAGAGAATTGCCACAGGAGATAGGGTGCTGACTGCCCCTGGGAAGGCATTGACTCTCAAATACACTGAGCCATGAAATGTGCCCAGGATTCCCTTTATAATGGCTTCTTCACAGCAAAGTGGGTGGGCTAACTTTCAGTCTGGCTGGGTGCCTAAGGTCACATGCAGGGGATGTGGATCTAGATGATGGAGGGCAGAAAGAATGGCTTCTGATTGATAGCAATGTTTTATAAATGCATGAAAAGCATGCTTGGTTGGCTAGCTGGATGACTGGATTGGACGGATGCATGGATGGATGGATGCATGGATGGGTGGAAGGATAGATGGATGAACGGATGGACAGACGGATGGACGGACAGATGGATGGATGGACGGGTGGATGGACAGGTGTATGGATGGATAGATGGATGGATGGATGGATGGATGGATGGATGGACAGATGCATGGATGGATGGAAGGATGGATGGATGAACGGATGGACGGACGGATGGATGGATGGACAGACGGATGGATGGACGTATGGATGGACAGGTGTATGGATGGATGGATGGATGGATGCATGGATGGATGGATGGATTGACAGGTGCATGGATGGATAAATGAGTGGATGGATGGGTGGATGGATGGATGGACAGGTGCATGGATGGATAGATGGTGGATGCATGGATGGATGGATGCATGGATGAATGGATAGCATGCAGCAGTCCTGAAATGCCTGTGGGCAGGATCTATGCCTGGTAGTCACTAAAGGACTCAAATCTACAGGTCCGAGTTCCTTGGTCTTTGAGTTCCTCCATGGTCACCTTATCATTTGATATGAATAGACCCTCTGTACAGATGGAACAGTCAGTGATGTAGGCACTACTGATCCAACATGGTTAAGGTGGGATTTGTGATCAAATTGACCTGGCCTTGAGCGTTGGCTCTGCCACTTCTAAGCTGCGACCTTAGCCAGCCATGTAACCTTGTTAAGCCCTGGTTTCTTCATCCAAAAAGAGAGTTAATAATATCTACCTTAAAGTATTGAATCTGATGATTAAATCAGATAACACATGTAAAGTGTCTAGTTCAGTATTAAAATATTCCCCCCACGGCACCTAGTCAATGATAAAAGGGAAACATTGCTCTCTAGAACCAAAATGTCTGATGCATGAAGACCAGGAAAAGGCCTTAAATCCAGAAGGCCCCCTACTCAGAGGCATGGTGTTTGGTGGAAATTTATCCCCAGAACTCCTGGTTGGTGAGAAAGTGCTTCCATGGCTCTAAGGGGGTATAGCATGGACCCCTGGAGTACCAATACTGAGCCTAATGGGACAAAATTGGCAAGTGAACTGCATGAAGCCTTGGCTCAAGAAAGTAGGGCTAGTTCTGGACAAGGACATTTCATGGAGTTGTGTGGCAGGGACAAGTTATGGCTAAGCCAGGGAGCCCCACAAGGGTCTGGCCTGCCCACACGACTCTGCCTGGAACCAGCCCAGACTCTGAGCTCTTTGGGGCCATCTTGGCCTGCCTCAAACAGCTACAATCTCTCCCAGACCAGTGCTAAACGGCAGATCTAGACCTGTTGTTCACTCCAAGTAGGCTTTGAGAGTGTTCTACGTTCTGGTCAGTGCCAGGCATGTTGGTTGAGGCCTGCTGTGGGGTCGGCAGTTGAGACCCGTATGACTCTAGGGCTAACTCCTAAGGCCATGGAATAACAGTCTGAGCACCCACTGCACTCTCATCTTCTCGGCCTTGCCCTTCTGTACCTCTTAGTGGGGTGACCACTCCATCCTGGTCCTGCAGCAGGATGTGGCAGGGACCCCCACGGAGATACAGCTCAGGCATTCTTCTCCGGCTGCAGCTGGGCAGGCCGGGTAGCCCTTTCTTCTCCTCAGCAGACTCTGAAACAGCCTGCTTCTTCCCCCCTTGGCAGCTCCCACCTTCTGTCCTCTGTACCCCTCAAGGTTCTCTTGCCCCTAGACTGGCTGAGAAGAGAAAACAGAGCCCCCAACTTCCCTCATCCCTACTGCTTCTGAACCAAGCATTCCAGCGTCCTCAGTTAAAGTGTTTTTAACAGACAGAGAATTATAGAAATGCACGCAGGGGTAGGTTACAAAGAGAGACCATTTTGGTCTCCACTCTGAGGTTAACCATATATGCTGACATGGCTAATGAAGCTTGGAGCTGGGGCTCCAGGAGTGACAGACTAGGCAGCCTGCTCCAGGGCTTGAAACTGAAGACATTAGCCAGGACAGATGGCCTGGCCAGGAGCTAAAGAAATAGTTCAGAACAACCATCAAGTCCAAAGGGAACCTGGCAGAGAGATGTTTGACCAGAGTCAGTACTGTGAGGGAGATTCAGAAGAGAATGATGTAGAGTAGGCGTAGCCTGGAGAGGTACCCAAGGGACTGAAATACAGGGCCAAGTCCACTTTTTTAGGACACAAATTCAAGCGATATTTAAAGTTTATCTATTTTGAAAGAGAGAGAGAGAGAGTATGGGGGAGGGGCAGAGAGAGAGGGAGAGAGAGAATCCCAAGCAGGCTCCACACTGTTCGCATGGAGCCCGACGCAGGGCTCAGTCCCACCAACCACGAGCTCATGACCTGGGCCAAAATCAAGAGTAGGGTGCTTAACTGACTGATCCACCCAGGTGCCCCTCAAGCGATATTTGAGATGAGGGACCAATAGGACTTGGCAGCTGAGCGCAGAGTGGTGGAGTGGGAGGCAGGAGGCAGAAATGGTGGCCCTACCACCGGGGTGGAGAGTCCAGGAGGCACAGCAGGTGTGGGGAACAAGATGACGAGTTTGGGGTGGGAACTCGAGTTTGAGGTGCCTCAGGTAGAGGTGCTGGAGGGCAGCTGGCTTTGCAGGTTTGGCACTCAGGCAGGAGGCAGAGGCTGGAGATACAGACTGAGGGGGTGTATTAATTTGCTAGGGCTGCAGTAACAAATAGCACAGACTGGATCAAGAGGTCTACAGGGTTGGTTCCTTGTGGGGACTCTCACCTTGGACTATAGATGGCTGTCTTCTTGCCGTGTCTCCTGTCTGTGCATATCTGTGTCTTAATCTCTTCTTCTAAGGACACTGGTCATATTGGATCAGGGCTCACCCAATGACCTCATTTAACCTTAATTACCTCTTTAACATCCCTGTCTCCAAATATCGTCACATTCTGAGGTCCCGGGGGTTAGGACTTCAGTATGTGAATGTGAATGGGTACAATTCAGCCCAAAGTGAGGGTCATCAGTCCCCTAAGTGATTGGTCGCAGGGTGGCAAGGTCACCCAGAGAGAGTGGGCTCGGCTGAGAAGGGAGTGGATGAGAGGATGGAAAGGGTGCCAAGAAGGAGACCGAGGAGGATGGGTTAGAGAGGGCTACAGAGGCAAAGGATACTGGGTGTCCAGGATGGAGCGGTCAACAAGGTTCAATGCCATGGGGAATCAGAGTGTTGACTTGTCTGGTCATCGGAAGGCTATAGCTGACCTTGGTGAGAATGGTTCAGTGGGGCATGAGGCAGCTTAAGGGACAGGTGAGCATCACCAACGAGGAGGGGAGATGGACAGGACAGAGCACTTTCAAGTAGAAAGGGGCTGTAATGTGCTTTATTGTTGAATTTATTCTCCTGCCTCTCATGTAGGGCAGAACTTGTTAAGCTGAAGGTTTTGACCCAGAGATAAAGAGATTGCTTCTTTTTTGGCAGTAGGGTTGGCCCCCAGGTTCCTACCAGGATAGTGTGGCTGAGTGGATGGATGGTCTCCTAAGACCTGGTCTGTCCTCTTTCGGCTCTTCCTTGGACCCGGCTGAGATTGACTGAGACTGATTATGGCCAAGTCCTGGTTCCAGCGGAGGCTGATCTCAGGCCATCCTCCCCCTACACACTCACACAGGCATGTGCGTGCACACACACACTCTGGCTGGCCTCTGTGTCTGTCCAGAGCTCAAGGGTTTTTTTTACCTCCAACTTATCTCAACATGGAGACTTCTAACTTGGACGCGACATCCTTGAAAATTCCAGGTGACTCTAGCCAATGCGCCACATTCTTCTCAAAGCTTCCAACTTTTTTTTTTCTTTAATGTTCATTTATTTATTTTGAGAGGGAGGGAGGGAGAGAGAGAGAGAGAGAGAGCATGGCAGGGGTAGAGACAGAGGGAGAGAGAGAATCCCAAGCAGACTCTGCACTGTCAGCTCAGAACCTGATGCATGGCTGGGTCCCATGAACCATGAGATTATGATCTGAGCCGAAATCAAGAGTCAGATGCTCAACCGACTGAGCCACCTAGGCGTCCCCTCAACTTCTTTGATTTTGAAAGGCTGTGATGACACATGAAGGTAACAATTGCAGTTTCCTCCCCTAAAAGACAAAGTAGGGGCGCCTGGGTGGCGCAGTCGGTTAAGCGTCCGACTTCAGCCAGGTCACGATCTCGCGGTCCGTGAGTTCGAGCCCCGTGTCAGGCTCTGGGCTGATGGCTCGGAGCCTGGAGCCTGTTTCCGATTCTGTGTCTCCCTCTCTCTCTGCCCCTCCCCCGTTCATGCTCTGTCTCTCTCTGTCCCAAAAATAAATAAAAAAAAAAAATAAGTTTTAAAAGACAAAGTAGACACACACACACACACACACACACACACACACACACACACAATTACACAGCAATAAACACTCAACAAGATGTAATGAAAAGGCTCCAGGGAGGGAGGCAGGGCCCCTGAGGCTGGCTGTGCTGCTACCCTGTGTGAGCTTGAGCAAATCCCTCCCATTTGGGGGGAGCCATTTTCTTTAT